AAATCGTTCAGTTCATCTGCACAGATCTGGCTTGCGCAAGCCAAATCGTTCAGTTCATCTGCACAGATCTGGCTTGCGCAAGCCAAATCGTTCAGCTGGCTTGAGCGTGTAAACGGGCTTTAATGTTGGACCCAAACAAATCGGGATTTATGAATGACTAGCTTGGTCTATTTATTAATGTCTTTGGTTCTGGGGAATTATCGATTTGAGGGCCGCACGGTTAAAAACAATAATAATAATGGTTTTCATGAAGACAACCGCACACGCACATTGAACGTGGGTAAACAGAGGCTCCATAATCACCCCATAATCACCCCAAATGCTCAGATTGTTTCAATTACTCCATCAATCGACATGCTCTGCTTGCTTAGTTCCGATGCTTGTTTGCTTATCGAGGCCGTCACTCAAGAGGTAATTCAGCTATAATCAATGAAATCAGCAGATTTTGACGAAATAATCATATGCATTGGTAAAGGGTTGAACTGGCGATTAATGGGAAAACTCTATTTGATTTGTCCAGTATCCAGTTGGCGTACTAGTTCGACTAAACATTGGAGCAAATGGTGAAACTATTTCTTAAGCAAACAACAACGACCGATTAAAGTGGGCTCGAATTAGCCTTCGACGAAGCGCATTAGCCGAAAAGGCCTTGGAGATAAGTGGGCACTCTTCTAATTACCGACAAATATAATTTTCCCGTACAGAAATGAAAATTGTAATTTAGGTGTCTGCTTAGATTGTTTGCGGCACGCAATGTTTCAGTTGACGTGCTGTTGCCTCTAATATTTGCTGCATTTTCCTATTAGAATATTAAATTCGTTGGGACAACGTTTTTCGTATGTGTGCGCCAACATTTCACTTTACAGGTAGAGCAAAATGTTCCTTAGTTAAGGCTGTGGGTCTTGCTCGACTCAATAGGGCGATTTGTTCGGGGTTTTCCGCGTTAAATCAGTTGAAAACCGTAGTTTTTTCGTTAAAAAAAAACTGCCCACAATGTGGAGGAGAATGGGAAGTTTGCGATATGAACTGGTTTTATTTTCTTTCCAGTTTCACTAAAATTGATGGTGAAAAATATTTCCATCCTCAAGTTTTCCAAACAACTGTATCTCTCGAACTGTTTCCAAGCGTGGGGGTCGAGTTTTTGAACAAATGAAAATTGGCTCAAAATGTTACAAAATTTTCAGCTCACGGAAGCGAGGAATGCATCGAGCTCACTGAAAAACTTGGTAGAAGTTTCTGATCCGAAATAATAGACATTCTCGGCACATTTTAAGCGTTTTTTGATCGTTCTCGATCTTTAGCCGGCGATTTATTCCTTATTATTGACTCAAACAGTTGCTAAATTCATATTTGTGACCTTCTTACGACGAAAGGAATCGATTGAGTTCAAAAAACACTTATGTGAAATTTAGATTTTCGGCCGAAATTTTTCCCAGGGTGGGGGTCGATTTTTTGAAAAAATTGAAAAGTTCCCAAAATGTCTTAAATTTTTCATCATTTTCAGCTCACGGACGCGACGAATGCATGAAACTCATTGAAAAACATGGTAGAAGTTTCAGATCCGAAA